CCCCGGGGGTGTGGTCACTGGCCCCGCCCCGCCTGGGCCCCGCTCTCGGGCGCGCCCCGCGGCAGTGTGCGGCCTGGGTCCCGGGCTTGGCCCGCAGAGCCCGACGCTAGAACAATGCACCCCACGCCTGTCCCGGAGCTGCGTCTCGATGATGGCATGGTGGGGGGAATCCATTTTTCTTTAAATCATCCAGTGATGGCTCAGATCTGTTTTCCTCCCCGGTGAAGCAGCATGTTTACTTACCTGTGTGATCCTGTCTCCAGAGAGCTGAGCTGTTTTAGCAAACCCGGCTCCAGAGCGTCTTCCCTGGGCACCCCAGGGAGAAATGACACACAGGCTGGTCCATTTATTTCTCAGAAACGGTTTTTCTTTTCTTCCATAAGATGTCTAGGGAAAGCTTTCATTTCCTCTTGGTAAACGTGGCGCAGTGGTAAAGTTGGAAAACCCATGGCGGGCTGGCTTGTTGGGAAATGTTTGGTCTCTTCTGATGGCTGTTCTCGAACACTCCATGCGAAGGTGCAGAGGGGGATGGCCCCCGGGTCCCCACCTCACAGACCACAGAACCACTGAAGACCAAGAAGGGAACTGGGATCATCTTGAGATGGAAAATGAATTGCAAACATGCTGCACAATTAGACAGGACAAAGAAATCATTGAGAAGACCACACAAGTTTGTATAAAGATATTCTTGTATTGCCTTTACCCAAACTCTGACATCATACAAAAATCTTTTTAAAAAAATAAAGAATAAAAAAGACTCGGAGTGATATATATGCAGTTACAGAAGGTCCTCTCAAAAGATGGTCCAGCTAATCATTCAAAACAGATTGAGATGCAAAGACATGGAATGTGAGTACAGGGTTTCTTTACTGTGGCTTTCTTCCTTCTCCCTTAGTATTATTTTTAATGTTTTACTTGTTACTGACAAACTTGTGATCCTCCTGCCTTCCTCCCACGTTCTTTCAGTGGCTGAGATTACAGGCATTCTGTTCTCCCTCTCCATTTGTGTTGGAGCAATTACACAAGGAATCTATTTTACCCTTGAACTAGGACCCGATATAATTTTTGTTGTTCCCCTTTTTAAATAAGTCTCAGAAAAAGGTCTGAGGAACTGGCTGTGAGGATGAGGCCAGTGAGGCTGGAAACATTCCACCTTTCATCTACTCTGGTGTTATAGCACTTTTTTTGTGTGTCAGTACTAGGGCTTCAACTCAGGGCCTGGGTACTATCCCTTAGCTTTTTACTCACAGCTAATGCTCTACCATTCGAGCCACACCTCCACTTCCATCTTTTTAGTGGTTAACTGGAGATAAGAGTCTCATGGGGTGGGGGTAAGGGGGAGTGTAGTTGTGGAGATGGGAGGGCAGGGATGGTAGGGGAAACAAAGGAGGAGGCAACAATGCTTGATAAGAAATGTACTCATTACCTGGCTCATGTAATTGTAACCCCTCTGTACGGTATTTTCACAATAAAAAACTTACTTTTAAAAAAAGAGTCTCATAGACTTTTCTGCCTGGGCTAGCTTTGAATCGTGATCCTCAGGTCTTGGTTTCCTGAGTAACTAGGGTTACAGGTGTGAGCCAGGGGCACCTGGTCCAATTTAATTATCTTCCAGAAATATAGAATCCAGGGGTCTCTACCACCCCTGAAAACAACAGTGGACCTGGCTCCCTGGGAAACACTACACAGAAGCATGCAAAGTGAAGTGTGTTCTGGTAAACATGGCAGAGCATGGTTTGTCCAAAACACATCACTCTGAACTTGTAAACATCACACTGAGCAGTACTGTGATCTCCATAAATACTGAGGACCTGCACAGATGAGGGTGCCTGGAAGAACGGCTTCCTTCCTTCCCAGACACTGGCAGTTCCAGGTATACAGGGTGCAGGAATACCCAGAGGTACTTCTCAGTTCACATTAGGGAGCTGCTCTTGGAGTCATCTCATTAAATAACCATCCTGCATGTCCGCGTCTGCATCACTTTGGTCAGACAGAGCATCTTCTGTCCACAGGCACTGGGAAGAGGGGCTGAGGTGAGCAGCCTGAGTCCTTTCCCCACTGGCTATCAGCAGAGTGGACTCTCCTCCATCAGCGTCCTCTTCTGGGTCCGCCATTTCTTCTGTCAGAGATGACACCAGACTGGCTTCGTCCACGTCTTTGTCGACAACTCTCAAGAATACAGAGTTTAAGTCCACATTGAAGATAATTCTGTCTCCAGAGCCCTCGGGGGAGCTGCTATTGTCTTCAAGAAAGGGATCCTGGAGCAGACTTTCTCTCCTCTCATAGGGCTCACTTGAGTCTCCAGATTGCCAAGGCTGGGGTTCTGGTGCTGTTGGGGGGTCCAGCTCAGCTCCAGCTTCAGCCTCATCAGATTCATCAGCCTCTGAGTCTATGGGCTGGGACTCGTGGGACGGGATGGAGGAGGCTGGATCCTGGCTTAGCAGGCCTACGAGTCCGTGCATGGTATAGCCAGTGGCATTTGTCTTAGGAGTCACTTCAGTATCACTGTCACTGTCGTCGTAATTGTAATTCCACACTTTCTTCTTTCTGTGGATGGAGATGACTTCCACCATATCCACTGCTTCCAATGGTGGCGGTTTGGAGAATTTCAGGGAACGGTAACTATGGAAATTCTAAGAGAGAGAAACAGAGAGACTGTATCACTTAACGATTGCTATGGCTTTTTGTTGTTGTTTGTTCTGGCCAGGTTCTCATGCACTGGGTCGGCTTTTTTTGTTCAAGGCTGTCACTCTACCACTGGAACTGGAGTTCCACTTCGGATTTTTGCTGGTTTGTTTGAGAGGAGAGTCTCACAGACTTTCCTGCCCAGGCTGGCTTTCAACTGTGACTCTCTCTAGCCTGAATAGCTAGGATTACAGACTACCAAAGGTCGGGGAATGAAGGGTAATCTATCTGGAAATGGCTGAGTTCTTTAGATTTTTTTATTACCCTTGAGGGTAATGACAAAGGTCCTAGGTGAAATAGCCTAGGACCTGGCTATAAATGCTAGGAGTAATCCAGGAAAGAAATGCCTTGTAGACTCAAGCACTTACTGGTATCCATCCCAGCCTTGGCACAAAGTAGGTTATAGTATTAAAAATTCTTATTCAAGTGAGGTGCTTCATGCTTGTAATCCTAGCTACCCAGGAGGCTGACATCTGAGGATCACTATTTGAAGCCAGCTCAGGCAGTAAAGTTCTTGAGACTCTGAGACTTATCTCCAATTAACCACCAGGAAACAAGCTGTAGCTCAGTGCTGTGGCTCAAATAGTAGAGTGCTACCCTTGAGTAGGAGAGCTCAGGGAGAGTGCCCAGGCCCTGAGTTCAAGCACCAGGACTGACCCCTAAAGAAACCCCTGGACAGATAAGATCTTGTATATTTCCCCAGCTTCAAAAGCTAAAGATGAAAACAACATTTTGTGTTTTTACTACTTCTTCTGCATGAGAGGCAGGAAATGTTTCTCTTTTTCGATTTCTCCCAACTTCAACCCTGTTTGTTATATTAAAAATTCATTTTTGCTAAAACTTTAAACTAAAAAGTCTATATAAGAAAAGATTTTTAGGGGCTGGGAAGGTGGCTCAGTGGTAGAGAGCTTGCCTTACATGCCTGAGGCCCTGGGTTCGATTCCTCAGCACCACATAAGCAAAAAGAAAAAA